AAATAAAGAACTTTAAATACAGTATGTTTTTTATTTTAATGAAATATAATTTGATAACAGATTTCAAATCATATATTTTCTAACCCAACTACTATTAATTACAAAAATAGTTGTAATTTGTAACCAACATTGAACCAGTTTATAAATAAATTGTATGTACTTCTCAGTGCATATAGTGCACAGTTGATAACATTTTTCACTTATGAAAAGTATCGAAAAATCACTAAAAAATCGAGAAATTGTTTCCACGTATTGCAAATCTGTAAGGACCGATTCCACCGTTGTGTTAAACGAAATTTAAAATAACATTTTTTCATTAACAATGTCATTTTAGCCTTCGTTTAACACAACAGTGGAATCAGCCCTAATATAACCAAACTTTTCAGATCATTAAAATTTGAGGTTAAGTTCTCTTTTGACGCGAAACCTGTAAAAATCAAATATTCAAAATTTCCGCCAAACTATTACCGACCGTCTCCGGAAAGTGCCGAGCGCTTCCGAGGTTTCCGCGATTTTTAGTGTCGTCTCTACCAGTGGGTACTGACAGTTTAGATATGGCAACCCTGTTTTCATGTTGTCATTAACAGGGTCAGTGATACGTATATAGTTATATAGATTGCTCAAAGCTGGTCGTTTACGAGCGGCCATATTGCCTGGCAAATATTTATTAATTTGAATCGGTTTAGAAAAAAATGTGTTTTAAAACTAATTTTTAGCCTTTAGACATTAAAAAAAAATAATTGCTTACATTTTTACTTCAAGGTATAAGCTTATGTTTATTTTGAAAAATATGGATGATCAATCTATGTAACTATCTATTTCATTGACCTTGTCAAATCACCAGGCCTACAGGGTTGCCATAATTTTGCTATATCATAACCCGTCAAAACGTGGTCAAAACCCACTGGTAGCCATTCAGTTTGGAATGCCTAATAAGAAATATCAGTCAGTAGTATGTTCTATGTATAAGCATGAATCTGTTAAGAACATCAGTTGACTAAGGTTTTTAAAAAATAATATCAAAATTTGCTTTATGGGATTATGTTAATGCAGCATGTAGAAGCATTATTATAATGTTGCAGTTATTATAACTACCTGAACAATATTTGGGTATCAAAAAATGAAAACATAAATACTTTTATTTTACAGTTTGTTAGATATATAAAATTCCTCTACAAATAACAAAGTAAATATTAAACGAAATATTAAAAGGTAAACTAGAGAATACCATTATTATTACAGTACTGCAATTGATTATATTATTAGTGTGTATTTCACTCAATAACTCCAAATCATCACCAGAATTGTAACAATGGGTGCTATGATTGAACGTTTACGTTACCCGTAATGTACATGTTAGACCGAATTTTAAAAGTAACGAGGCAAGTTCGTATGATGCAAACCTGTTAAATTAGAACATAACAGGCGGAAAATAACAGTAATGTGTTGGAAAAAGTTTTCCATCGTACGAACTTGCCTTGTTACTGTTAAAACTCGGCCTAACATGTACGTTACGGATAACGTAAACGTTCAATCATAGGACCCATGGGTCCTATGATTGAACGTTTATGTTATCCGTAACGTACATGTTAGGCCGAATTTTAAAAGTAACGAGGCAAGTTCGTATGATGGAAACCTGTTAAATTAGAACATAACAGGCGGAAAATAACAGTAATGTGTTATGAAAGACTTTACATCATACAAACTTGCCTCATTACTGTTAAAACTCGGCCTAACATGTACGTTACGGATAACGTAAACGTTCAATCATAGGACCCATTGTCTCTCTCGACGTCTGTTGAGATTGTTATTCAGATCATCGCTACTGAAATAACTATCATCGCTGTTTGGTGTACTAATAATTGGAGCAATTTATATTCTGTCAATTATTCTCTCTCTTTCGTACCATTTTGAGATGTCTTTTTCTGTATGGCTGATATTTTTTTTCCAAAATTGTGGTGTTATTGTCCGAAGTGCTTCTGACCACATATTTATACAATCTTCTTTTTTTTTTATCATCTCTACCAATATGTCTATTGTAATATTGCTTTGAAATGCCCCAAATAAGTCCAATTTGAGAATATACAATGATAAGGAGGGAAGCGTAATACTTTATGTCCGTATTGTTTGGCTAGAAGATCAACTATGTAAATTTTTGATGGTTTATTTCTAAAAAAAAGTAATTGAGAAATTACAGACGAAACAGATTTCTTTTACTGACTGTGCAACAAGATTCAGAAGTTCCGCTTTAAACGTAGCAAATGAAAATCTAATATTCTGATTTGTCAGTCACTATTGTATTTTAAGCCTTGGTTTCTTTGAACACTTCGTCGCGGTGAGCGGACAGTCCGTCAACCGTCGCGTTTTGAAGATTTTATCCAACCAGAGTATTTAAATGGGAATGGTTTTCTTGAATCCGCTTAGCTGAGCAGGACGGCGTCATGCCGCTGATTTGTCGCGAAGAGTCGGTTGATATCTCTTGAGTTTAATATCAGCGGAATCGTCGGCGTGTGCGGAGACTATTGTTATTAATTTTAAAACAATGAGTGACAAATTCACACATACAGATGACATCATGACTTTATTTTTAGGTTTCTTGGAAATTATGTCCTTTATAAAACTCAACACGAATTCAAAAAAATCTGTAGAAAGTCTAAAATACTTGGTTTCATTTCCAAGAAGCCTCCGCTGCACAATGATATTAAAGGCACCTTCTGTATCGCGACAGTGATCGTGACACAAAAATAATCATCCACTGGCTTATTGGAAACTTTGACGGTTGCAATTACCAGTTCCTCTTGTTCTTCCTCTTCCAACAATAATAACAACGCAAACAATTTATTTGCATCCATTTTAGTACCTTTCGTTTACATTCATAATACATAAACAGCACGTACAGACATATAGAAAGTATCATTTTCTATATTTTTTAACAAACCACCTCGGGCGAAAATTGCTGTCCTCAGCGGTCAACGGACTGTCCGCTCACCGCGACGAAGTGTTCAAAGAAACCAAGGCTTTAAGGTTCTTATGTGGAGCACACAGATTAGTTTCATGCAGACCGCTGTTCTTAAAACAAGAAATATTAACATTAACATCTTTATTTATCTTAGAAACTTGTTGCATGATCCATAAGAACAAGTCGAAATATAAATCGAATACATCCCGTGTAACTCGCCAAACGGGTAACTTGAAGTTGCCTATTCCCAAAACTGAACTAATAAGAGACTCTTTTATATACAATGGTATTAAAATGTACAATAGGCTATCACATACGTTGACAGATGTTGAGTCACAGAATTGTTTTAGAAAGGTGCTCAAGAGATTTCTGTTAACTATAATAATAATAATAATAATAATAATACTCTCCCTAATTCACCCCCTTACGAGTGAATTTTGACCCCAAAAGCTGAGCTTGTGCGGGGAAAGGGACGGCTATTATTATTATTATTTGCCGTGGCGCTCCGGGGCGACTTAAAGATGATTGATGGTGCCATTTGACTTACAGGTAAGGAAAACCCGGAAAACCTCACCCACCATCATCGAGACGGTAATGTATGGCGAATTTTTTTAATCTGCATGTCATATCAACAGAAATTGAATTTCTATTAATACGCCACACATCAAATCCTAAACCGAACCATGCAATTTAATTAAAAATCCACATAGTCTGGTCTGGGATTCGAAACCCAGCAGTCTCAGACTCATAAACTTGCCTATAAATGAATATAAGCGCGATAGACCGCTACACCACCGTCCCACTAGGCCTTATTATAATATTATAGAATTTTATAATGACGAGACATTGTGGTATGTGTTTTATTTTAGATGTATGTATTAATGTTAATTTATAATAATGTTTGTTTATATTTTAATGACTATTTATTTATTTGTAATTTGTATACTATTTGTACAATATTGTGTTTGTACCTATGACTATTTATTTATTTGTAATTTGTACAATATTGTGTTTGTCAATATGTATTTTAACTGGGACAATAAACATATATTCTCTCTCTCTCTCTCACTATATATTACACAAAAAATGTCAAGTAGAACAAATAAATGATTTTTTTAAAATATGTTTATTGAAATAATTATAAAATAGTCCCACAATAATAAATGTAACGATATGAATACTTCTAATGCTAATTACTGACAAAAAGCTACTGTTAAAAGCAACAGAGAAATTAAAAGCAAATGACATTGTGTTGCATCGTGTCACCTTTTTTTTATTGGATTTCTTAAGTAGGTGATGGTAAATTCACGTACTAGATATAAGTACATATTTCTGATAGTTAATTAAACTGTATTGATCAAATTAAATTTTGGCCAAAATCCATAATATCATCCTTTCTTTCACTAATTATTTTATTGATTGTTTTTTACTTCCGCTATTATTGTAGAAGTATGACTCTGACTCACTTGTATATTTTTTATAAAAGATGCTGTGAGAAAACAAAAATTTAACGGGTAGTGTTTCGGACAAGTGACAAAGAGTGTTTGAGACTTGTTTACGAATATATTTATTGACTATTCGTGTAGGTAAATAAGAATATACATATGATGTGTGATCACGTTGCTTTTATCTTGTGTATTTATTATTGGCTCATTAATTTTAGGTATTATAAATGAACGTATGTGTAGGTAGAATGAGACAAGCTCAGATAAAAAATCTTTTGAAAAAAAGTATTTAATTTGAGGGTAAGGACAATCTACACTTAATTGGACGAGGTGAAAATAATTAAAGTAGATAATACTTAGCCTTCGTTCTAAGTTTTTCTTGATTTTGTTGCTGTCTGTTGATCTGTTTATTTATAGACTGTATAATTTTTTATGTAAAATTAATGAGTTGATCAAGTAAGTCCTAAAATCTTGCGCATGCCCTAGCACGGCGCGTTTTCGTGTGGGATATCTTTGTTGGGATATCTGTAGTTGTGTGGGTTGTTCAAGTATTTAATGCCGACTAAGATGTGCTGTTAGGTTTCTTTTAACTTTATTTATATGCCCTTCTGTTGCGAAGACTTTTGTGACTCAGAAGTAACTTTATTATTTTTAGTAGTTTCTCTAGTACCTTCAGTATCTTCAGTATCTTCAGTATCTTCAGTATCTTCAGTATCTTCAGTATCTTCAGTATCTTCAGTATCTTCAGTATCTTCAGTATCTTCAGTATCTTCAGTATCTTCAGTATCTTCAGTATCTTCAGTATCTTCAGTATCTTCAGTATCTTCAGTATCTTCAGTATATTCAGTATCTTCAGTATCTTCAGTATCTTCAGTATCTTCAGTATCTTCAGTATCTTCAGTATCTTCAGTATCTTCAGTATCTTCAGTATCTTTAGTATCTTTAGTATCTTCAGTATCTTCAGTATCTTCAGTATCTTCAGTATCTTCAGTATCTTCAGTATCTTCAGTATCTTCAGTATCTTCAGTATCTTCAGTATCTTCAGTATCTTCAGTATCTTCAGTATCTTCAGTATCTTCAGTATCTTCAGTATCTTCAGTATCTTCAGTATCTTCAGTATCTTCAGTATCTTCAGTATCTTCAGTATCTTCAGTATCTTCAGTATCTTCAGTATCTTCAGTATCTTCAGTATCTTCAGTATCTTCAGTATCTTCAGTATCTTCAGTATCTTCAGTATCTTCAGTATCTTCAGTATCTTCAGTATCTTCAGTATCTTCAGTATCTTCAGTATCTTCAGTATCTTCAGTATCTTCAGTATCTTCAGTATCTTCAGTATCTTCAGTATCTTCAGTATCTTCAGTATCTTCAGTATCTTCAGTATCTTCAGTATCTTCAGTATCTTCAGTATCTTCAGTATCTTCAGTATCTTCAGTATCTTCAGTATCTTCAGTATCTTCAGTATCTTCAGTATCTTCAGTATCTTCAGTATCTTCAGTATCTTCAGTATCTTCAGTATCTTCAGTATCTTCAGTATCTTCAGTATCTTCAGTATCTTCAGTATCTTCAGTATCTTCAGTATCTTCAGTATCTTTAGTATCTTTAGTATCTTTAGTATCTTCAGTATCTTCAGTATCTTCAGTATCTTCAGTATCTTCAGTATCTTCAGTATCTTCAGTATCTTCAGTATCTTCAGTATCTTCAGTATCTTCAGTATCTTCAGTATCTTCAGTATCTTCAGTATCTTCAGTATCTTCAGTATCTTCAGTATCTTCAGTATCTTCAGTATCTTCAGTATCTTCAGTATCTTCAGTATCTTCAGTATCTTCAGTATCTTCAGTATCTTCAGTATCTTCAGTATCTTCAGTATCTTCAGTATCTTCAGTATCTTCAGTATCTTCAGTATCTTCAGTATCTTCAGTATCTTCAGTATCTTCAGTATCTTCAGTATCTTCAGTATCTTCAGTATCTTCAGTATCTTCAGTATCTTCAGTATCTTCAGTATCTTCAGTATCTTCAGTATCTTCAGTATCTTCAGTATCTTCAGTATCTTCAGTATCTTCAGTATCTTCAGTATCTTCAGTATCTTCAGTATCTTCAGTATCTTCAGTATCTTCAGTATCTTCAGTATCTTCAGTATCTTCAGTATCTTCAGTATCTTCAGTATCTTCAGTATCTTCAGTATCTTCAGTATCTTCAGTATCTTCAGTATCTTCAGTATCTTCAGTATCTTCAGTATCTTCAGTATCTTCAGTATCTTCAGTATCTTCAGTATCTTCAGTATCTTCAGTATCTTCAGTATCTTCAGTATCTTCAGTATCTTCAGTATCTTCAGTATCTTCAGTATCTTCAGTATCTTCAGTATCTTCAGTATCTTCAGTATCTTCAGTATCTTCAGTATCTTCAGTATCTTCAGTATCTTCAGTATCTTCAGTATCTTCAGTATCTTCAGTATCTTCAGTATCTTCAGTATCTTCAGTATCTTCAGTATCTTCAGTATCTTCAGTATCTTCAGTATCTTCAGTATCTTCAGTATCTTCAGTATCTTCAGTATCTTCAGTATCTTCAGTATCTTCAGTATCTTCAGTATCTTCAGTATCTTCAGTATCTTCAGTATCTTCAGTATCTTCAGTATCTTCAGTATCTTCAGTATCTTCAGTATCTTCAGTATCTTCAGTATCTTCAGTATCTTCAGTATCTTCAGTATCTTCAGTATCTTCAGTATCTTCAGTAGGAATCTTTAGTAGTATCTCTAGCAGTACCTTCAGCATTGGCTCTAGTATCCAGATCCAGTACCTAACTTAGTATCCAGCTTGGAGTATTCCAATAATTTTCAGTGTCCTGCAGGATCCGAGTTTTCAGTTCCTAAACTCCGAGACCGAGTTGGTACAATTGACCCCAGACCGGCTACATTGAGAGATTAGTAAGTAAACTCCACACACCACTACACACCAGTGAATTCGTTGAATATCGTAAAATTAGAAAAAATATTTTTACTAAGTAATTTTAATTTTAATTCTTTTTGTCCCATCTTGATTTAAAATTGACTTCCGCCGAGACACGATCTGAACAGTCCTGTCATTCCTGATGTGCAATTATCTTCTATATCAGTACATCATGACATACTCTATCGAATGCCTTAGCGACATCCAAGAATAGGATTCCTCTGATTTCTGTAATACCTTCGACTAGACTCAGGACTGACTCTATCTTTCCTACTTCATTCCTGGATCTGATCAGAGGCATTTATGGAAGTGTTGGTTATAAACGCCTTTAAATGAGTTAGCCCTGGGGTATATTTTCAGTTCGTCCATTTTGAGATGTTTTTTGGCAGTGTTCTTTGCAATTCCTAAGAATAGTTCTGGTCCTATAAACTCAGTTTCAGTTTTTCTTTTAGGAGGGCATTAAATATGACATTATATCCGTTCAGGGGACTGATATAGGTGTAAAAAAATAGGTTCTTGGATTTTCTCAGTGTTTGTTAGTATTATGTTTGAGAGGTCGAAAACAGGACTTAAATATATTAAGAAAACAAGGAATTATGATATAAGAAATTGTTTATTTTTGTTATAATCTGGATATAAAAAAAGACAATTATATATTACAGAGAACGTCTAACTTTCTTTGTAAATATAACTGTCGTTACTCTTTTTTCCATTCGCCAATAAAATTTATATAAACGACACCATAAAGATTCTGATAAGAAGTTGGGGAGACTCAATTGGAGTCCTTGAACACTTATTGTTCTTAAAAATGGGATTAAATTGGTTGCGTGTCTATTTGATATTTCCAGTACATTGAAGTTGGACGTCTTAGAAAAAGAAAAACAGTAAACGCAATGTGTTATATGTATATAGATGTACTTTTAGTACCGGAGTTTAAAGTATAGAAATTCCACTTCTAAATTAAAATAGTATATTGTTATAAGAGTGACGAATATAACATTTGTTAAAGCGAGAGAATAGTTTACTACCAAATGAGATGAATCCGAGGTTGGTAATGTTCGCGAGCTTCAAAAAATAATTTTAGACAATTAAAACACAGGTTTTTTTTTGAACTATTTACTAAAAACTAACAAATGTAAACACATTCTATTTTATGTTAGAGTAACAATATTTAACAACTGACACTGACAGTTCTTAACAATTAACGTTAAAACCAGCAGTTGGATTCTGATCTTCCAATACAGCATATTATATCGAGAACGCCTATCTTCGTTCGACAGACTGCGATTCTTATTGAATGTCTCTCTCTATGCAACACGCAACGTGTTGAGTTCGCACATAAGAATCCCTGTGTAGGACTGGTATATCTGAGAGGGTCGCGATCTAGCCTTCCATCTTGGACCCCAATTATTTCCGAAGTAGTAGTTGCGAGGCCTGCCAATAAAAGAAAAAAAAATATATAAGCGTTTTTTAAAGATAACGTTTTCATTGTGTTCGATATAAAGTAGAACATAAATGCACAAATTCTTTAGGATAAAATATTTAAATTTAAGAAATTTTCTTGCAGAACAAATTGTGGCTCCCTTTTTATGGCTCCAGCCCCCTAAGTTTATTTATCTTAAAGTTCAATATTATTACTATATTATATCGGCCGTTCTTTTTAAGTTGTTTGCAGGTATTATTCATTTCGTTTGTATGTTTTTATTTAATTTTATTAATAATTTTGTGTAAAATCGTGTAATTTTTCTATACGTTTTGTTCGCTACTACAGAGGTTGGATTTAAAATACCTTTGTAACAGAGGTTAACTAGGTACTTTCCTAAAACTGGCCAAAATTTTAAACTAAATGCAGTTCCTACAGAAAATCTCCAGTAAAAAAGAAGCCTTTCTCTCTGCATGCAGAATGACACTAGAATAGGTTAACAAAGCTGGAAAAAAGATCGACAAACCTTTGTTTGGCTTTATTAATATTTCGGGTTAATATTGTTAACATAAGACCACGACAAGGAGAATCAAAGTTTGTTGTAATCAGTCAAAATATTACAGTACCTTCAGAATTGTAAAATTATAATAGATATGGCTTTAAGGACAGCGTCTCCTAGGAATTTCTGAACAAAATTATGTCACTTTAGATTCAATCAAGGAGGTGCTGTTACCTACCGACTAGAGATTGAATTAGTGCAAATTATTACAGAAATCTTTAAGTAACTATAAATATCGACCGACTAGCTATTAGGGGATATTGTATTATAAACAGGTTTTTAGTAGACTGAGTTCGAAGAATCATAATAATAGTCCTGAACATAAAATCTATTTTTCAATAATTGCCGGGATTTCACCAAATAAAAAAAATTATTTCGCGATTGTGAAAACGGTCCAATCGTTTTATATGCCATTTATAATATTATAAAAATGTTAACTCTAGGACTCATTTTGGAGTATGAGCATACTTTATTTCAATACTTTTATTGTACTGTTTCATAAAATATTACCTACTTATTACATTTTATTTTTATCGAAAATTGACTTTGTTTCCTGGACCAAAGTAAAGAATGTAGATGGTAACAACCAAAACGATATCTTGCCTTACATTAAATATAAATATTTCCTAAAATAAATAATTTGGTTTATATACGGGTAGTAATACGAGGGATGTTTATAATTTCAAGTGACGAATATAGAGTCGTTTCAAAATATATTGCGACAATAATTGCGTCACATTGAGTCGGAGTGGGACGCTTATTGACGTGTTGCAATTCGCAATATATTTTAAAACTATTCTACCTAATTAATAAATTGTGATTTTGAAGTATCGAATGAAAACTATATTCTCATTGGTTAAAGATGGAAGTTTTTGTCATTTGAATGTTCAAGAATATTAATTGTGATTAATTGGTTAAACACCGAAGTTATCTGTTATCTGATGTTGGTACTAACCTAATGTTTTTGGGTAATTTTGACTGTCATTTCCTGGAATTTCCAGACCCGCATAAATATTTATCCTATTAAAGTACAAAAACCCTACAATAGATATTATGAGTAGGTATTTAACATTCATATATCTTATCTTATCTTAGGTAATTATTTCCCTGATTGTCAATAACACATTACCGTATATCTGTGCCAATATGACGTCACGACTTTTAATATACTTAATGAAGGCTGGGGGAAGGAGTTAAGAGTCTATAAATTTACAAACAAGCTTACGGGTATTTAGTTTTCAAAATTACATTACACGTTTCTGAAGTGTTTTATTGTGCTGTTTGTTTTTAATAAGTGTTATTTTCTTTAATAGAAAATTTATTTATTTGTGCCAAGTGTCCTAGTGTACATTTTAATCAGTTTTATTTTTGGATAAATTGACATCGACTTCCTGCATTAAAGGTAGGTAGTATTTTTTTTCTATCACTCTCGAGTTCGTCATTGAATAAAAAAATTAAACGCTATAATTTTAACATTCAAACATTTGCAATTAAAAAATAATATTACGTATTAAATTGACAATAAAAAAACTTGTTATTTAATAATAATGTTTCATTATTCTGAATATATTTTTTCTACGATTAATATCCAAAGTAGGTAGGCTTTTGCACATTAAAATCTAAATAAAAAGTTGACGTTTTCTGCGAATTGTCATAATTTGACATTATTGGCGCACATTACCTAATATTCAAACCCATTTCCATGCTTAAAAATAGAAGATGGTGACATTCATTTAAAAGAAAACCATAACTACTTTTACCAGGTGAAAAATTTCAATATGTTAAAATAATTCATGATTTTTAAGAAATGTGCTAGAAATGATACTACAATATTAATATTCTTTTTATGTTTGATTTTCTAATAATGATTTTATATACTTTTAGATTCAAGGACAGCTAGGTATAGCTCCAAGAAAATTGTGCTACTTTGTAGTATATACTGGAGATGAAAATCCACTATTTGTTGAAAAAATTAATTTTCAACCCATTTTTTTTTTTTTTTAAATATGGTTGAAAAATTAGAAAAATTTTACTCGGAATATATGGCACCTGAGATAATTTTAAATAGAAGAGGACGAGGATTAAAATGTCTGGATACCCCATATAATGAAAATTAAAGTGCAAAGATTAGCAAATTTATAAAAATAATAATTTAATGGACTTTAATCATACAAGTACTTGAAATAATGGTTTTTTGCGCATAAGCATGTTCATACGTAATTTGCAATTGGTAATCGTTCTTTTATTTTTGATTTATTTTAACAGGTATAATATATGGTATGTTACTTATAGTATAGATTTTTTTATTTCTTGACCTAATTTATTTGTTACGTCTTCAGCAATTGTCGCTTTCAGTTGACATAAACGAAATTGATAAAAAGTGTTTTTCGCATTTTATTTTGACTGTTTCTCTTACTTTCGAATAGAAACTGAGCTTTGTAAACTTAAAATGACGGATATGTCAAACTAAAACTGACGGTAAAATGAAACATTGAGTATCGTTAAATGCAACTTTTGAACTAGTTTCAAAAATAGCATTAAAATGATATCATTCACAATGTACTAATTTCCTATACTTTTAGTTGATAAATAACCGATAATCATAACATAACAAATAGGCGCGTGTCAAAAGGTCACCGGCGAAAAAAGAGTGCCGATGAAAAAAGGTCGTTTCCAATTGTATCATATAAACAGTATCAGAGGCAGTATTATCATCTCGTTTATCCCCCGTAAACACACATAATATAAACGGAAATAATCAAATACTAGTCAAAATATTATCGATCGGAGCACCATCTTTATTACATTACATGAAGTAATTATTGATTTTTCGGGGTTTATTTA